TCTTGAGCCGCCTGTCCAGGTCGATGAACCTGCGCAGGCCCGGGAGACTACAGAAGCGGAGAGGGTTGTTGAAGCTGAAGCGGCTCCTGAGGCTGAGGAGGCCTCTGACGCTGACAGGTCTGTTGCGGCCGAGGAGGCGGCATCGGCTGAGCAACTTGAGGACTCTGCGGTGGTCGAAGTTGACGCCGCTGCTGGACGATCTGTCACTGAACAGCCTGCCGTCAGTGAGGAGCCTGCCGCCACTGAAGAGCTTGCCGTCAATGAAGAGCCTGCTGCGAGTGGAAAGCCCGTCATCAGTGAAGAGCCTGCCGTCATCGAGGTGCCTCCCGCTACCGAAGAACCGGCATCGGTTGAGGAACCCACCGTGGCCGAGGAGTCAGCCGTCACCAGGGAAACAACGGCAGTTGAGGAGCCTGTATTGGCCAAGGAACTTGCGGAGGCTGAGGAAGGAATCCACACCGAGGGCCCTGTCGAAGTTCAACCGGCTGCTGAAGTCGAAGAACCTCTTCAGGCGGCGAAACGCATCGAAGTCGAAGAGGCTTCTGCGGCTGTGGACTCTGTTCCAATGGAGACGGCTGCAAAGACGGGTGACGATGAAGTGGCTCCTCAGATCGAGACGCCCTTTGTCCAGAGCAATGCTCTCGATGAGACTGTCATCCTCGAGACTGTCAAGCCCGAGGGACCTGTCGAATTCGAGGCTTCTGCTGTCGAGGAACCTATCAACGCAGTGAAGGCCGTTGTGGTCGGACAGCCTGTGCTGCTCGTCAACCCTGAGGCGCCCGTTATCTCCGCTGATATTTGCGCGGATGAGGAACCTGCCGTCACAGAACAGCAAACCGACGGGCCAGAAGCAGTTTCTCTGGACGTGGACGATGCGGCGGTCACAGCGCCCGAAGCAACCGAACCAGAATTTCAGAAATCTGAGGTTCAAGCCAGCGAGCCGGAGTCCGCGTCGGAAAACACGGCCGCCGAGGATGCCCTGAACCCAGGCCAGGTTTCTGCGCCGCCCCTTGAGAAGATCGCCCCTGAAACCGCTTCGGAAGAGTTTGTTATGGTCCAGGCGGCATCCATTCCCAAGGATGCCGAGCGAGCCGCAATCGGGCTTGTTGAGGAGCCGGTTGTTGTTGAGCAACCCACCGCTTCGTTCGAGGAGGTTGCTGATCACGAACAAATTGCGCCAAAGACCGTGGACAGCATCGCAGTTGAGGACTCTGTTGTCGGGCCGAGCACAGAGATTCCCCAGCTCGGCGAGGAACCGACTCTCGTTGACCAGTCCACGGCATCGTTTGAGCAGGTCTCCGGTTCCGAGAAGCTGCCGCCCAATCGAGATATTCCGCCGCCCGGTGCAGCCGTTGACGAGTCTCTTGTCGTGTTGAGCGCGGAGAACTCCCAACTGGCTGAAGAGCCGGTGGTGGTCGACAACGCTGGCGAAGCGTCTGAAGTCATTGTGCCTGCCAGCAAGACGGTGGCTGAGGAGCAGGCGTCTGAAGCAGTTGCCGTCGCCCAGGTCGACCTGCCGGAAGCTGATGCCTCGATCGATCAAACACCGGTGGCATTGGAAGCAATCGCGAGCGATGTTGCATCACTGGCGTTAGTCGCTGAGGGTGACACAGCTGCCCCCAGCGAGCGATTGCCGACTCAGGTTGACGAGTCAGCCATCCTCGTCGATAAGGAGGGCATCGAAACTGAGCTGACAGTCCGCGAGGATGAGGATGCAATCATCGAGAGCCCAGCGTTGCCATTGGCTCTTGACAATCTGGCAACTGTTGCTTACCAGACCGATAAGGTCGAGTCTCCCAAAGAAGACTCGCCAGTTGTTGCTCAAGCCACTGTCGAGGCTGAGGTGCCCGTCTCCAAGGAGATATTGGAGTCTGCGTCCGAGGAGGTTGTCGCTCCCAAAATCACACCATCAGAAGCTGTGGAAATCGAGACCGATCAGATCCCAGCGCCGGTTGGAGAGAAGACGAACGCCGAACCCTCGCTCATCGAGCCGGTTGTTGAGGTGGCTGCCCAAGACAACACACAACCACACTCCGAACCTGATGCCGACCTCGCGGCCAGCAGTGGCTCGCACGCAAAGGAAATTGCCATTGGCGGAGGCGTGGCGGGTGTTGTAGGAGTTGCAGCAGCTCTTGTTGCGTACAACTTGTCTTCCGACGAGCCCGATGTCCCGCCAACAATCGCCCGGCTCGAGGAGATTGCGGCTAAGCTTGATGAACCTGAGGTTCCGACGGCCACCCCGAGGACCGAGATTCCCGGAGAGGGAGCCACCACGCTGGAGAAGCTGCCATCGCGTGAGCTTGCTGAGGAGGCCAAGGTAATGGAGGCTTCTCAGATTGTGGTGGACGAGGGGGTCCCGCTCTCCGAGTCCTTCCACGTTGTGGACAAGGACACACCAGCCCAAGAAGAAGCGGCGAAGACTGAAGACAAGAAGCTTGCTTCTTCCGAGGATGGTGAGGAATCTGCCGCGCGGTCTGCTGTTGTTGCTGGAGCCGAAGAGACGAAAACTGACGATGGCCTTCTGGTTGCTCCAAGACCGACAAGCCGAGGAACAGGACCCGCCCAAGAAGGAGAAGTCGTTCTGGACTTCCGTGTACCCACACCTGCTGTCGTTCTTCCTGACCTCGACGATCCTGTGGCTCAGCAGCTAAGCCGGATGCGCAGCCTGCGCCGGCGGCGGAAAAACACCATCAAGCAGGCCGAGGAAATGGTGGCGGCGGCCGTTGTCCTTTATGCTACGGCTGAGGCCCTCAGTCCGCCGGGGAGTCCGAGACTCGCCAGTCCAGGAGCCGATGTCCTTGGTTCGATCGAAATGCATTCTGATGTCAAGGGGAAAGGGAAGGAGGTGGAGGTGCCAGTCCTGTCTCTGCAGGCTTCGGGGCCTCCCGCCGAAGATGAGCAGGATAGGGGCAGAACCAGGTCGAGACATCTTCCTGAAGCTGTTGCTGACCTCTCAGTAGTCGACAAAGAAAAATCCAGGGAACCTCTCAGGGTCGAGGCTGCCAAGCTAGCCCACAGCTCCAGGCGCCACAGCCATCACTCCTCGCGGCACCGATCTCATCATCGTGACAGCCGAGATTACCGTGACAGCCGAGATTATCGTGACAACCGAGATTACCGTGACAGCCGAGACGGAAGCAAGGACGGCTCGAGGCGCTCGCACCGTTCGCGATCAGACAGCCACACGTCTGCTCGCTCGCGCGGCGACGAAGAACCCCCGCGCACGCCGACTCGCGAGGACAGCGGCTTCTCGGAGCATAAGATCAGCCCGCACTCTCGGAGACACCGCACGCCCGAGGAGCAAGCCGCGCACGAGAAGCGCAAGGAGGAGCGGCGCCGTGCCCGCGAACTCGAGAAGGCCAGGGACGGCCCGCCCAGCTCTCCGGGCAAGGCAGAAAGGGAGAAGGACCGTTCCTCTGCCCCGCGCGACCACTACGAACGAGATCGGTCCGAGCGCTCCGAACCACGCTCCGAACGGTCCTCAGAGCACCGTCATTCTGAACACCGTCACTCGTCCCACCACCACAGCTCGCGCCGCCACAGCCAGAGCCGGCACAGCATCGAGCCCAAACCCGAGGTACCAGCCCCGTCTCCGCCCGCGAGCAAGAAGTTCTTTGACATCAAGAACGGCAAGAGCGTGCTCGAGCCCAACTTTGGCGGCCTTCCCAAGGACGGCCCTACGCCAGCGACCGCACCCGTCCCGCCACCGGCGGCCATCCCGTCATCATCCGCCGTGCCGCCGCCGCCGGCGGCTGATCTCCGGCGCTCCAGCACGACGCGCAGCAGCCACAGGGCACGCAGGTCCGAGGAGCGCGCGAGCCGCAACAGGACACGCGACGACGAAGAGCCGAACAAGCCGCTCAGCAGTAGCAGGGAGCACAGGGAGAGGCACTGGGAGAGGACCGAGCAGCACATGTCCAAGGTGTCGGTCAAGCCTGTTGGCGGTGGCGGCGGCGGCGGCGGTGGTGAGTCTTCAGCGGCACTTAGTGCCGGTGGGGGAGACGCGGACTCACAGCAGGCGGCGCATCGGGCAAAGAGGATGGAGAGGAGGAAGACGGAGAGGGAGTCGAAGGAGGTGGGGAAGGAGAAGGGGGGGTTGAGGGCGGCTATTAAACGGTTTTTCAGTAGCAAGGAGTAACGACGGTGACTGAAATGGAGTGAGGGGTGAGGAAGGGTAGATGGATAGGGTGGGAGAGAGAGGGAGGAGGGGGTGATGAGTGTTTTCTTTTTCCTTTGTAGTCTCACGACTGACGACGTGTTCTATGACGACGAGAATGAGGATGATGATGATGGGTTTGTTTCATGTTATTGGCAGATAGCTGAGGAGAGGGTGGTAAAAATGGGGATACGATGCTTATGCTTGGTGGTGGAGGCTGCAGTGTGCTTTTCCTCATGACCAAGCAACTGATGAAGCTTGTTGGTATGGGACATGAGGGAGTCTGTATGTGTTTGATGCATGTATGATGAAAATGATGATTCTTCCCAGTTCACAAATAGTTATAACCACCACAGTACAATTACTGCCTTGCGTTGACGAATATGGATCGGCCGATATTAGAAATGTATCCTGGAGTATAACAGAGTCTATCAGTCCTTGTATACAATGGAATTTGTTCTGTCTTTCTATGTCTCGGGTCTGGAACCAATTCCCGTCCTCGCTGTGCTGGACTCGGAGTCTGGGAAGGAAGGGCCGGGATGCTAAGGCAGCCGAGACGTGCAAGGGTTAGGGCTTCAGTCGCAATACTTTGCTTGCTCGCAGAACCATTGGCTTATGAGTTCACTTTTCATCTAGCAACTTTGCTGTGCCTCCTGAATTGATTCCATCGAAATAATCATTTATCCTCGCGGATATTCATTATATGGTGATCAGGTTGTTGCCTGCTTAGCATATGAGCTTCCCCTTCCCTTTAGGCTACCTCAAAAGCTGTCTGCAGTTGCAACTCCACTTTGTGAACGTCGGTCGACCTGGGACACCATCACCACCTCCCAAAACAACCAAGATGCCGCCCATGATCGACCCCGCGTTATTTGACCAGCTCAAGACGAAAATTGAAGAGGACACCAGCATCCGGAAGGAGCTGGACCAGATTCTCGATGAGTTGAACCAGAACGTCTCGTACACCCAGGGCGTGCTGTCGCGGATACACTCAACCCCGCGGTCCAGATGTCGGTTTTCTTTACGCTCAAACAGCATATTTTTTTTTTAAAAAAAAAAAAAAAAACTGACGATGGGCTAGATACAACTCTGCTTAGCCAGGTGGAGGGCGGCATTAACAAGGAGATCGAGATGGTCGGTAGGCTCTCGGAGTTCGCGTCCCAGTACCCGTATTACAAGTGAATTCCCAGAAGGCGAACTGTTGGTAAGTATCAGTCTTGCTGATTTCCCGGGACAGGTATAACCACAAGTGGACTCGAATGGTTCAGGACGCCATCTCCACCGTCATACTCTGTGCCTGGCTGGGCGGCATGTCGACCGACTCCAAGCCGGGCGAGGTCGGCCGTCTGCTGAAGCTGGAGGACATCGGCCAGATCTTCAACGGTTTGCAGCATAACTCCTGACTAAAAACAGACACATGTACTGATCATGCTACCAGTGCCCGTCAACCTCAAGGACCGCGACGCCTTCCACATCACCATCGAAGAGTACCTGCTGGGGCTAATCGCCGTCATCGACGACCTCAGCCGGTTGGCGGTCAACTCGGTCACGCTGGGCGACAACGCCATGGCCGTGCAGATCAGCGGATTTATCAAGGACCTACATGCCGGCTTTCAGGTGCTGAATCTCAAGAACGATGTGCTGAGGAAGCGAGTGGACTCGATTAAGTATGCCGTCAAGAAGGTCGAGGATGTCGTGTACGATCTCTCGCTGCGGAATCTGATTCCTCAGGAGGGGCAGTGAGAGCCGGTTCGAGATTGCGAACGGTCTCACCGCTCGAAAGGCTAGAATAATAGCAGTTTAACTACTGTTACACGGTTCCGCCCTGAATGTCTTGAGTAATAAGCTAAGGGGCTTCATCCATCAGGCACTGAGAGCAGAAGTCGTTTTGAGGGTTAGGGTCCAATCGCGAGCGTGCCGAGCCTAAGCTGCCCGGCCCATCATCAACTTAATAATTGCCCTTTGCTCCATACTCCGGAGCCTCTCCCCTTTCCAAATCACCTCCATCAGCGCCGACAATGCCCCTCGTCGACCCAGTAACAATGCCGTCCACAATCGCAAAGGGCGTCACCGCCCAAGCGCAAGCGACTTCCTCGAGAACCACATCTACTCCGCCATTAGCAACCTACGCCCTGTACCCCGTACAGATTAAACAAACCCCCCTGGCCCAAGCCGCGCGATACGCCCTACCAGCCTTGCTAGCAGGCATCTTTGCAGTGCGCTTCCGCGCCCTCGTCGCCGATCCCGTCTCGACAATGTCCACCACCCTTCCACTGACCGCCGCGCTGCAGGTTGCCTACGCAGTCCTCTGTCTGCCCGTGGCTGGGTCGCAGGGCGGCGGTGGTGCAAAGGGCGCGCGGAAACACAAGGCGAGGCCCGGGGAGGGCGGTCCGGGTTCGAAGAAGCGTCCTGAGGGGACAGGCCCGAGTGCCGTTGTTGTATGTCTTTTTCTGTTTCTCCTACTTTTCCTGACCTACACTTTCGTCGCTTTCTTTGCCCTTGCCTACGTCCCGCTAATGAATTGCGCGTCTTTGTTGCTACAGACCTCGCTGCTCTCTCTCCTGCTCTCGCTCCTAATCACGCCCTTCCTTTACGCCGCCATGGTCCTGTTCGGCGCGCCCTTCCTCACTCACGGCGCGCACACCCTGCTCTGCGCCGCGCACCTCGCCGTGCTGGCGCTGTTTCCGCTGTTCTACATACATGGCGTCGACGGGGCGGCATGGGCGGCCGTCGGCAGCTTCAGCGCGCCGCTGGATGAGACGTTTGGCGGGCTGGTCGGCGGCGTGGTGGGGGCTTGGCTTGGGGCCGTACCGATCCCGCTGGACTGGGACCGCGACTGGCAGAGGTGGCCGGTCACGATTCTGTGTGGGCTGTATGGTGGGTATGTGCTTGGCCGAATGGTAGGAGGAACGCTCGCTTGGGGGAAGAGGTTCTGAGGCGGATACGGGTGGTAGGGTTGAGCACCGCGGCTCATAGATGGAGGAGAACACGAGAAATACCCGTGTACGTTGCGGCGCACCAACCCTACTGGGAGACGTTTAATAGAATAGACATCTTATACCTACCCTACTTACAAACTACCTGTTCGGACTTCGCACAACAGTCACACCCATACTGCGTCGAATTGGGCCGGTTGAGTTGTCTCCCGGAAAAAATTGGATCGGCCCCACTAATGCCGAGTCTCCGGTCCCTGTCCGAGATCGCACTCTTTGGTCGGTTCAAGACATTGATTCTCCCGAATTTCCAACCCTGCTCAACAAACTTATAATTCGCACAACACACTTCCGCGAGCGCGAGAAGCTCCTTTCCTGGGCCGGCATACTCCATATCACCGTCCGCCGCGCCCAATGGAAGGAGCCCAATAACGGGCAACACGACCATGCAACCTCCCACCGCGGCCGCGTCGCCCGCACAACCGCCCGACCAATCGCCTGCTCATTATCAAGAGAAGGCCCCCAGCAACTACAAAGGCTTCGTAGCCGGCGTCTTCTCCGGGATAGCCAAGCTCGCCGGTACCTTTCTTTCCTTCCTACAACCCCCCACTCCCCACGTCCCATCCATTTCAATAATCCATCTTCCAACAAACACAAACCACAAACACAAACCAACTAATTCTTCGCGCTCTGCAAACCCCCACAGTCGGCCACCCCTTCGACACAATCAAAGTCCGCCTCCAAACAACCACCTCAACGCGCTTCTCCGGGCCGCTAGCATGCCTAACCCAGACGCTACGCAACGAAGGGCTCGTCGGCTTGTACAAGGGCGCCACCCCTCCCTTAGTCGGCTGGATGTTCATGGACAGCGTCATGCTCGGCTCGCTGTCCGTCTACCGCCGGCTGCTCCACGAGAACCTATTCAACCCGCCCTGGCACCCGCTGCACGACCCAACCACCCCGCTCCCCGCGCACGGCCACGGCCTGGCGGGCATCCTGGCCGGCGCGACCGTGAGTTTCGTGGCGGCGCCCGTGGAGCATGTGAAAGCGCGGCTGCAGATCCAGTATGCCGCGAAGAAGAGCGAGCGGTTGTACAGCGGGCCGGTGGACTGTGTGCGCAAGGTATGGAGACACCATGGGATTGGGGGGGTGTACCACGGGTTGCAGGCGACCTTGTTGTTCAGGAGCTTCTTCTTTTTCTGGTGGGGGAGCTATGACTTGTTTTCGCGGTGGATGAGGCAGCATACGAGCCTGAGCGCGCCGGCCATCAATTTCTGGGCGGGCGGGCTGAGCGCCCAGGTGTTTTGGGTCTTTAGCTACCCGAGCGATGTGGTCAAGCAGCGGATCATGACGGATCCCCTAGGAGGCGGTCTGAATGACGGGGTGAGGAGGTTCCCCAGGTGGAAGGACGCTGCCAAGGCGGTTTACCGCGAGAGCGGTGCCATGGGGTACTGGCGCGGATTCCTGCCTTGCTTTCTCAGGGCGTTCCCTGCGAACGCCATGGCGCTGGTTGCGTTTGAGGCGGCGATGCGGGCGTTGCCGGGATGATGAGGAGCAAATCTGTGTGTCAGAGTCTATGACTTGAAGCATCCGCCTTGTCACATGCATTATACCCAGGACGGGGAGGAATTCTAAATGGTTCGGCTAAAACGCCGGCGGCCGCAGCAGCGGCGTGTCCTTTGATTGACCCCTTCCCGCTATGCACAACCGTCTAGTATCCTTTTTCGGTATCCTTGCCAGATAACCCCGGAGAACTCCAACCAGATGGCCGACCCATTTACTCCTCGTCCTCCTCGGCCTCGTCGTTGACGACGTTGAAGAACTTGAGCTCGTAGACACCCCGCGAGGTCGAGACAACGCGGAGCCAGTCACGGAGCTGCATTTTCTTGAGGAACTTTTTGGTGCTGCAGAGAGACAAGTCAGCATTCTATTTCTGCTTTCAGAGTCGGAGTGCGTGCGGCATACAGGTACTTGAGGTAACGGCCCGAGAGCTCGTTGTGGGCAATGATCTCGATCTTGCCCTCGCCCTGCTGCGAGATCTTGATGGTCTCGCCGAGGTTGCCGACGCGGCCGTCGACCTTGATCTTCTCGTTCAGGAACTTCTCAAAGGCCGACACATCGAAAATCTTGTCGCTGGCGGGCTGCGAGGCGTTGATGATGAACTGAGCGGGCGACCTGTTAGTGATGGCCAAAGACGTGTGATTGTTTTACTCGGACTCACCTTCTTCGTCACCTTGGGGCCCTTCTTGGCGCCGGACTTCTTCTGTTACTCCCAAAGGAGATTGACTTAGCCTACTGTTTCACGCCATGGTCCGTCTCGGGGCGAGCCGAGGGACTGGGCCAACAGCAAAGCGGTCAGGTGATGGGACATACTGCGATGGGAGCCATTGTTTCTGTCGGGATCGGCGAATTGACCGTGGATGTCTAGGACGCAAAGAGGTTATATCCTGCGCCTGGTTGTGTGGTGTCGGCTTGTTAAATAGAGGTCCGATCATTCTTCATTTGGCGGTCAAGTCGAATTCGCGCGAAATTGTGGCCGCGGGAGTTTAGGGCTCAGGGGTGGAGCCAGTGGGTACATGTGAAGTGGGGCTGCACCAAGGGTCCGGTCGCCGGCTTAAAGTGGTCGGCCCGAGCCCCAGGGATCTAGAAAGTGGCCTCAACCAGTGCGGATTCCACCTGAGGATACCTCCAAGACTCAGGCGGGAGCAGGTTCACGGTCAATTGGTAAGAAGCGGGAAATGAAAGTGCTGTGGACAACATGCGAAGCGGTTTTTGGCTTGCATGCTCCGTACATTGCTGAGATGCTTTGGCGATTTCGGCTCTTTTACATGATGGCTGAGCACGTGTAAGACGCTGCACACCGTGCCTGGACTGAGAGCCGAGAAGAACTCAGGCAACAGAAGTTGGGGGGTGCAGGAGCTGTGATTGCCATGTTCACACATGACCGTTAAAACCACCGTACGTGAATCAACTGTATTAGCTGGACTGACTGAATGGTGGTGGTTTGCTTGTAAGGATGATAGAGCATGCAGCTCAGTGGTCCTCAGCATGGCCAGTTTTCCTCCCGTCGCTTGCGCATGTCGTTCAAAAGCAGCCAAGCTGCCAAATCAATCCAACCCAAATTCGAGGCAGACTTCGATGTACTGTGGTATGATGGGTAATGAAAAATCTCCATGCGGGGTACCCACGCTAACCGAGAGCAAGGTATCCACAATCTTCCACAGTAAATACAGTAAACAATTAACTAATATTTTGTATGCATACCCTTGGCTGCAATCACCGCCTTGCACCGATCTGGCATCGAGGCCAACAGTTCCTTCAAGTAGTCGTCCGATAGTGCCTCCCAAGCCTCCTTGACATACTGTCGTAGCTTCTCATACGAGGGCTTTTCTTCAAGGCCATGCCGGTCTTCAATCCAGTCCTTCATCCAATTCCAACAAGACTCAATAGGGTTCAAGTCCGGTGAAAAGGGTGGCCATTCCATCACGACAACGCCTCGCTCTCTGAGATTTTCCTTCGTCTCTGCGGCTGCATACCCTGGAGCACCATCTTGCATCAGGATCAGATCCTCACCAAGCTGTTCCTTGCACAACTGTACCCAGCCGTGAATCACAGGTACAGTATGTGCGCGGTAGGTTTCGGCGTTGATCTTCCCCCAACCCTTTTCCCAGAAAATCCCAGGGCCTTTGCCTAAGCCAGAGAAGCAACCCCAGAACATCCAGCCACCCTTGCGTTGATGCTTTTCCACAATGCACGTAGGATCCCACTCCTCGCCTTGACGCCGGGTTACATACTGCTTCCTATGCGGGCCACCAGTAACCCAGGTCTCGTCGGTCCAAAGGATGTTTGCCCACTGCTCAGGGGTCCAATGTTCATGCTCTTTGGCCCATGTCTCTCGGAGTTTCCGGGTTCGTTCGGTAATCGGTGGCTTCTTACGAGCAACTCGTCGGCGGAAGCCCAGTCGATAAAGAGCATGCTTGATCACCCATACGCCAAAGACCCCAGCGAAGATGATTGTTGAGAGCTCAAGGAAGCCCATCCGACGAGCTTTTTTACTGGAAACGACATATTGAACAAGCTCGTTTTCTTGCTCTGGTGTTAACGACCGTGGCCGGCCAGTACTCCGCCTAGCAGTGGCGTCGCGAGCGCGAATAGCGGTTCGGATCTGGGCTTTAGTATAGCCAGTAATACTCTGGATCTCAGCTTGGCTTTTGCTGGCATCGAAATATAAAACGCGAACTCGCTGGCGTTCCTCGGTAGTAAGCTGTTTGGTACCGCTGGATCCCTGTGGCCGTGCCATCGTGCTGTTGTGAGTTATCGAAACTAAGAGATGCTTTAGGAGACACTGTTACCGCAGTAAAGTGGAAAGTTTGGGTGTGTTCAGCTGATTGGCCAAAACGCGTCAGCCTGTTGTGCCCCACAGGTACCTGACATGGGGGTTTTCTTCATGCGCGCGACCACAGTAGACTTCATGAGGAGGCGCAGCTACTAGTGCGCCACAGCGCCGCCACATATATCGCAAGCAGTGATGTCATGCTGCCTACGTCACTGGAAGGCTCGGCAGACCTTGAATGCGAAGTTGGGTGACTGAAAGCGGAAACTCGCGGCGCCAAGCCTTGTTCCGAGACTCTGTCTTGTAATAACTTGAGCCAGAACAGAAACACAAACCTGAAGCCTGGCATTGATCGTTGACACAAGCTTTGGAATGAGCCGGACGACTGCATGTACCGGGCGTGACGCTGAGCACCGAGTAATAGTTGTGGTTGTGCTCAGAACAAAAACCTCGAAAAGGGTTTGAATTTCGCGCGCATACGGATCTGGCTTGTTCATGGGACTAGGTGAGTCGCAGGTCTCCGTTCGCCAATGCCATCTCAAATGCCCCTTTCTCCCCTGAGACAAACAGTATGGCAGCGACTACTCGAACGCGCCCAAACTTTTACCATGGCATGTCGAAGCTCGTGACCCGCCACTGGAAGCTTGGAACACTTCAGAGTCGAAGCTGGCCAAGAGCGGCCGGCTGCATCCGATGGGTGTATGACGCAGTGCTCAACTCCCAATCAAGTGTAGCGAACAGAGCTCATGCTGCCGCGCCTGTCGTCTGATGCCAACCGCAGCGAGCCGTGGCACCAGGGTAGTGGAGGGCCCGCCGGAGCCTTCAGGTTGGTTCCTTGGCAGTCAGATGTGCCATGCCCGAGGCAAGTACCGGGCGGGCAGGTTTTGGAAGGTATAAGATACGGCCTGCACCCACGCCGCTCTCCTCTCCTCGTTGCTTTCACCATATCGCGAATTTATTGAATCACTTTCCGAGTCATCAACCGACAAACTATACATCGACCTACGTTAGGCAACAGACCGATCCCACCTCCACAACACAGATCACCACCCCAACAAACCAAACAAACAACACCGCCATCATGCCTTTCACCGCAAGGTAAAGCAGACGCCCGCGTCACCACAGCGCTCTTAGGGTATCTCAGAACTAACCTCTGCGCTCTCTGCCCAGCGATCTCTGCAAGATGGTCTTCGCCGTCATCCTCCCGCCTCTGGGTGTCTTCCTCGAGCGCGGATGCGATTCCAGCTTCCTGCTCAACATCCTTCTCACCATCCTCGGCGTAAGTTGTCTCTGTCAACCGCATTTCCCGCCCCAGGCCCCTCCTTTGCGCAATAAAGCAACCAGGACAAACTGAACAAACATACTGACCGCTATTGATCGCAGTACATCCCCGGCATCGTTCACGCGCTTTACATTATCTGCAAATACTAAGCAGATGCTAGGCTACCGGCTTAGTGCCCTGGCCAGCGCTGTCACCGCTTGCTGCAGACCGCCGATTAATTGATATAGCCCGCCCGAAGAACGAGTCCAACACAGCGAGCGGGCAGAGAACCTTGGTCGGCAGTTCCTCAGAGCTACCCCGGTCATTTTTTTCTTGGCAGCGCTGCAACAGCGATGACATCAGTGCCGGACTTTCCCTTGGCCCCGTGTCTCAGCCAGCTTATAACAAGCCACATGCAATCGCTAGATGGGTGTCGGTATCGTGCTGGCGTGATCGGATGGGGAATTAGCAAGGTGCGGAACGGCCGGATCGGGGCGGAGTTTCCTGGTCAACATACTAATGAGGCATGACTTGGGACATGTTTTCTTGGATTGGGTTCAAGCCGTATCCTTCTCTCCTTCATTATTTTTTGGCATGGTCTCATGATCGTTGGAGGGACGACGGGTTTCAGCGAGTTCCTTTTGTCTTTCCTTACTTGGGCTGGCTTGCTTCATTACCAGCGTCATATGAGCTCAGTGCTCGTATGGAGTGTTTCCAATATCACGATACCCAGGTCAAGCGTCGTGGATTGAATGGATCTGCACAAATCATTCGATCAGTGATCATCCTGCATAAATATATGTATGACGGTTTTGATGTGTATCTCCTGTCATATCTTGGGCATTTCGGTTTACTCCAAGCACGAGTTCTTCAAGCCGTGTAACGGCCTGAAGAGCGTTGAATCCAAGCTGCGTGTGGCACGCTCGGTTCGGATTCCGACGGTTTGAGATACCATGCAGCGGGTTCGGGTCCGGCTTACTCTCAGTCAACAGCCGTCGAGCTGAGATGTGGGCTTCTAACTCAAGCACGGTCATGTTCCAGATGGCGTCGAACCCAAGTGGCTAGATGGAAAAGGCTCGCTCGTCGTACGCCTCTCATTTGCCTACTTTGAACGACAATATCTAGTCGCGGATCAGTAGCAGATCGTGGATACGGAATTTCGGCACTCACGTCGTTCTTCCCAACCGATACTAGCTGGTCTTCGGCTACCCGGATCCCGCCAACGCCCTCAATGTAGGCAATTGGCGCATCTCCCATGACCTTTCGTGCCACGTCCGCCACCGTCGAGTTCTTCTTTACCAAGACACAATCCCGGAAAACTACTTTCGAGTCCCCCGAGCCCGACCCAAACGTGGTGGTGTTCTTGACCGGGAACACCGGTGCCAGCCCTAAAATCTCGGCCGCTTTGGACAGCACCTGGACAACCCCTGTCGAGCCGAACCGGTATAGCACCATATCCTTCAAGTTCTCTATCCGGTTCCGGTTCTTCTCGTCCAGCTCCTTCAACCCCCCTCCGTCCGGGTCGCCAGCCGCTATTAAATCTTCCCTCGTGTCGACGAACTCGCTACCCTCTGTGTATCGGATATAACCCTGCTTGGCCATTTTCCGGAGGAAGATCTCTGATATGGCCGAGCAGAGCACGATCGTGTTGGGGTCCTGCATCTTGGCGATTTTGGCGATGTTCTTGTCTGCGTCGGGATGGTCGATTTTGTTGAGCGCGATGACGGTCGGGAACTTTTCGTCGGTAAACGCATTCACCACGCGGTCGATGGTCTCCTCTAAAGCACCATAATAAGCATACCCTCTTTGATGAGGAACTTTTAAGGTAGACTCACCACTCCACTCCTCCAACGGCTCCTTCAACCCCAGCCTATCCAACGTCCGCGCCACCACCGCGCTCGTACTCCCATACCCACTGAACTGGTTCTGCAGCGTCTCCACAGCCGTCGCCTTGACGGCGATATGTCTCCTCCGGATCGACCCCCACTTCTCCATCAGGTTCCCCTTGATCCACGCGACAATCTCGCTCCGCAACCACGCAATGTCTGCGCTGGGGTCATACCCGCGCGTATTCTTGCCCTCGGCGTCGGTCGTGCCGGACACGTCCACCACGTGGATTAGCGCATCGGCGTGCCGCAAGTCGTCGAGGAACTTGTTGCCCAGCCCCTTGCCCTGGTGCGCGCCGGGCACCAGGCCGGCCACGTCCAGCAGCTCGATGGGCACACTGCGCCGCCCGCCGACGCAAGAGCCGTAGTTGGGCTTGCACCGGTCGGTCAGGCCAAAGCGTGCGCAGGCGCAGTCGATTTGGAGGTAGCCGATGGCGCGTTGCGGGTCGATTGTGGTGAACCTGGAGGAGGGGCAGGGGTTAGCAGCGCGGCGCATGGTGCATGGTAGGTGGGGGGCGAAGCGTACGGAAAGTTTCCTGCGCAGGCGGCGCCGTAATCAGCGACCTGTTTGGATTGCGCTTGCGCTTCAGGGGGTTGGGTCTACCCACCGACTTTGGAAGTCGCATCTGTGAGCGAGTTGAGCGTGCTAGACTTGCCAGCGCTCGGTTTCCCAACGAGGCCGATGAGGGGGTCGCGCGGCATCCTGATGAAGTCACAGAAATTGCTTGCTAGTTGTGGGGAAGATGTAGAAGAAGTGAGAATCTCAATTGTCGTCGTCGCCGTGGATCGCCGCTGCAGTGGAAAATATCTGCCCCGCTTCTGATAAGCTGCGGATAAGCGAGGGGCAAGCAGAGGCCCGGAGCTTCCTCCTTCATACAACTCCACCGTGCAGATGGTCAAAGGGGAGCTTGGTCCTTCCAAAGGGACATAAAAGATATGGCAGCCCTGGGACAAAAAGCCCACGAGTTCTATGTGCCAGGTAGGCCATCCGTCTCGGATACCTCCCTGATCCCTTCCCCATCAAGTCACAACCTGGAATCTTTTGGACGGATCCATGCATTTTTATTGATCGATTCATACAGTCTTCAAGACCTAGTTGTATCCGGGCATATGAATCGCGTCTTGGCTGCCGTTAGACAGAGATGCCTTGGCCTACACTTCCCATCGAGGACCTCCCAGCCTGGGCACACCTCAACGACGTAACATTCCACAGCGTCAAGGTTACAAACACCGAGGGCAAAGGCTATGGTGTGATTTCCACCAGAGATATAGAAGCCACCGAAGGCACCCCCGATGTCCCATCATTGCTCACCGTGCCACACGACCTTGTCCTCAATGCCGCCGCTGTCGACGAGTTTGCCAAGGAGGACAGAAATTTCCGGCACCTTTTGGATGCCATCGGACACCGTGTAACAAAATCTCTCCCGCACCCCATGGTAAATGAACCACCAGCTGACTACTCTCCCAGGGCACACGGGCTGACGTATTACTCTTCCTCCTCGTCCAGACGGCCCTGGTTTCCCGCCACGGTCACCCTCCTGTGGGAGTCTCGAACCCCTGGAGAATATACCTCCAATTCCTCCCAAAATCAGTGCCAGTGCCCACCCTGTGGAATGAGGATGAGAGGCTTCTACTTCGGGGCACCTCTCTCGAGGCCGCCGTCGACGCCAAGATTACCGCGCTGGACGCTGAGTTTGGCCTGATCCAGGAGAAGTCGTCCGACATTGTGTCCTGGAACGAAATTTTATGGCACGACGGCTCGGTCTCGTTCACAGACTATATCCGGCTGGACGCCCTGTACCGGTCCCGCTGCGTGGAGCTGCCAAGGTCCGGGGAATCCATGGTCCCTTGCCTCGACATGACGAACCACGCGGTCACTCCCTCGGCGTACTACGAAGAGAGCCGGAATAACGAGGTAATTCTGCTGCCTAGGCCAGGACTAAGCATTTCTAAAGGCGACGAGGTCACCATCAGCTACGGCGACGACAAGTCGGCCGCAGAAATGTTATTCAGCTACGGGTTCATCGATCCTCAGTCAGCGACCGACTCGTTGGTCCTGCCCCTGACCCCGTTCCCGGACGACCCGCTAGCCAAGGCCAAGCTCGTCGCCTTCGGCCAGGCACCACAGATCCGCGTGGCTCGGGACGAGAACGGGGCCATCTGGTGGGGGAGCCAGTTCGCCTATTTGATGTGCGTCAACGAGGAGGATGGGCTGGAGTTCCGCGTCCTGCAGGACACCGACGGGGGTCAGCAGCTGCGCGTGTTTTGGCAGCAGGAGGATGTCACGGATCGAACGAGCCGCTTTGAGGAGATGGTTTGGACCCATCCCTTTTCTGCGGTCTTCAGGTTACGAGTGGTGACGGTTGTTCAAGAGACTATCCAGACGCAGCTTGAGCGGCTGCGGTCAACCACACCGCCAGACTCGCCCTCTTCGCTGCAACATGAGGATTGTTTCAGGATGGCAATGCTGCTCCGCCAGATTGAGACGGACATTCTCGAAGGCGCCATCAAAACCCTGGAAGAAGAGGTAAGTTACCACCAGCTACCGTTTCTTGGTTGCCAGAGGTAACCTGACCATGCGCAACACACATCCGATCCACATGCAGCACAAGACAGGCTAGATTAGAGGCTGATAGGGTGTGCTGCAGAGAACCTTGCTCATGGCAAAAGAAAACGTGGTGGCTTACTTGGCCGGCCTTACGGAACAACCGGATTCGGACCTAGCGGGCGAGGAGGCGTCCAATGAGGCCGACGACTTCAGCTAATGAACCATGGTTCCCGGCGACCATGTGAGAGACGCCTTCTTGCTGCCCTGCATCATCGACATCATACGCTCAAAACACCCATGAATTCGCATTGCCGAGAGGAGAGGGGGCACCTGACGCTACCAACGAATATATAGGGTGGCCTTTGAATGTGAAACACTCATAAGATTGAAAACCTTCTCTATTCTGTCAGGTAGGCGGGATGGTTCTCAACACCTGCTTCTACTGCGGTTCTTCACATAGCAGTATGGAGTAGACCCTTGAACAGGGGCTGAGATGCGGTTCTTGAATGAATTGGTCTCTAATCTTGAGCCGACCCATCTGGCGTATCACTCGGGTTCAAACCGTGATATCAAGTTGTAGAATGACTCCGACAAACATCGAAACGGTCTGTTGTGGACGCTCAGTCGTGAAGAAGGCCACGTGTGAGACTGTTGAATACAGATCGCTACTCTTTCGGAAATGTCATGAAGATCCGCTCTCCAGGCTGTCCAGAAAATATGTCGATCAACCTACCCACGGCACTGGCCGACAGCCAACCCCTAACAAGAAAATCCGTGAGGGTTATACTGGACTTGGAGCCCCTGGTGCAGAGACAGCCACATTTTCAGAGCCAATCCAAAACCAATATTAGCTGCAAACGCCACGAGGCATCCACGAGGTTTGGCAGCCACCAACAGGGACGAGGGAAGACAACCCAATCACAAGGGGTTCAGGTGTCACATCCCCACCTACAGTCAACCAGAATGCGGGGTAGTCGGGTGTTCACGAAGAGCACGCAACTGAACAGGTCCATGATCTGTAAAGGTCGGGGAACGATGTTGATTAACGTTGTCGCCTCGCCGGTCAAGAATGGAGACCAAGAACAAGAATTGAAGAGAAAGTACTTCCTTGAGTCAGCTGCTCGGATCAATCGATCGTGGGTTTGGTGTTTTGGTCTAACGGCTGCTCTCATTAGTCTTTGAGGATAACAGGAAAAGGCCTCGAACGGGTTGTCGACTCAGATCGCTCTCGCTTTTCTGTGCGACGACGGAGTAGTCTCAGCGTTAGGGCAACAAGTATGAGCTACGAAGTGGTAAGTCATCATCTAATAATTCTTCCAAGTCCTGTTGCTTGTCAAACGTACTGTAGGGATCGTCGACCCAATCCAAAAATTATCAAGCCCTTGCACGTTGAGGGCTGTCGAAATTCAATTTTAAGGTTCTGATTCGTCAGTGGCCATCGTGAAACCTACCCTACACGTGTAGGGTGGGAATCACAACCTGCCATTCTGCCGCCGAAAGCACTCATGATGCGCCTTACCCCGGATTTGGGATTCTGGGCTGACGGCAAGAGTAGCATGGACTGACAAGGTCATGGGCCCACAATCTGGGCGGTCTCCATGATGCGATGTTCCGGTCATGTGGTTGTGCAAGGGGTCAGCCCGGACAAATGGTATTCTGGATTGTGCCATTTCGTAGAGGCAGGAATATCGGACGGAAGAAGGTTGCTTTCCGAAGAGCAACCAACATCTTGAACGGAAGAATCGGAGGGCCATGCAGGCGAGAAATCGATTTTGCAGATAACGGAAGGTGCACGCCCGTGTTTTCTTGCAGCAACAGCAAGGAAGCTGCGAACCGCAACTGAAGACAGACCCCTGCTCTCCCCAGATTTCGCTCGCCGCCAAGTTAAATTGTGAGAGCGGAGCTGCAGGTGGGCAAGTCCGCCGTTTTTGTAAGCCAGCCAATTGCCGCTCTTTTACCCCGGCTCAATCAGAAACTGTGCTCCACAGCAGTAACTGTCAGCGCTTTGCTGACCGGCCGTTTGCACCATTTTCCTCCTGCAGATTCGCTGCCGTCTCCGCGTGGGCCATACTGTGTGTGGTATGCAGGAGCCTGAACCCACCTGCCATGCTTGGCCGATTTCCCGCAACAATGCATTAAAACCCCCCGGCCCCGCCCTTCAAGCTGCTTCGTCTACTTGTTGTTGGGATCCTGTCCAGTTTCAACCAAGTCAACAATCCGCTATCCAACTGGTGCGACTCGTCCATGTTGACGCCTCCGTTACGATTATCATAGGGCTGTGAGCACCGCTGAGGCTGGCTGCTGCGATTATCGGACACTCAGCCCACCCGTCTCAACAATTTTGGTCTCGCATCCTCTCATTTAGACGGACCGACTGTGCGAATGCAGCGAAAGTGAGCAAGCAAAGGGCGAGACGAAACCACCGCCAAAATGCCGGGAATCCTGCCCATGAAAGTTATCAAGGTGGGCAACAGCTCCCAAAGCCGCATTGCCCAGGCCTGCGACCGTTGCCGGAGCAAGAAGATCCGCTGCGATGGCATCCGCCCCTGCTGCTCGCAGTGCGCCAATGTCGGCTTTGAGTGCCGCACCAGTGACAAGCTCAGTCGCCGTGCCTTCCCCAGGGGCTACACCGAGTCACTGGAGGAACGGGTTCGGGCGCTCGAGGCTGAAGTGCGGGAGCTGAAGGACTTGTTGGACGAGAAGGACGAGAAGATCGACATGCTCTCCAGGATGCATGGCAATCGACGCTCCCAAAATGAGCAATGCCAGACGCCGCCCGCGACCGAAGTGAAAAAGGACGCTGGGACTCCGGCCAAGGAGGACACGTTCCGCATCCAGGCTTCGCCGCTACTGCTCGGTGTCGAAAACTCCGACTCTTACTTCATGGGCGCGTCCAGCGGCCGCGCGTTCATTGGTTCGTCCTCCCTCTTGTGCGATCAGGGGAGAATTCCGCTAACAACACCTTTCAGAATCGTTCAAACGCAAGATGCAGGAAAGTGGCAAGTCCTGCTCCAATTTTAACCCAGAGGCCTTCCTGCACATCCAGGGATGCTATCCTCTCACAGCGAAGCCGCCCTCTCAGACGCCGAGGATACCGCCGCGGCTGTTCTCCGACAGATGCGTCAATGTCTACTTCCAGGAGTGGGCTCCTCTGTTCCCTATTCTCCACAAGCCTACCTTCCTCCGCGTCTATGAGGAATTCGTCGCGGACCCGGAGAAGATCAAGAATAACCACAAGCTGGCACAGCTTTATCTCGTCTTCAGCATTGCCTCGCTGTCGGGTGACCAGCCCGATCTCCATCAGATCGCTGCCTGCGAACAGCAGTGGCAAAGGGCATTGGAAGCAATCCTGATGGACAACACCATGGTGACTCTGCAGTGTTTGCTGCTGGCGCTGGTTTACTGCACCATCAGGGCCGATTACAAGAGGTTGCAACATTACAAGGGCATCGCTGTTGGGCTATCGCACCGCCTTGGGCTTCACCAGAGCCAGAAGAGGTTTTCTTTCGGCGTGCTCACCATCGAGACCCGGAAGAAAGTCTTTTGGACACTCTACACGCTTGATTGGTAAGTAACACCACTTTTCTCTCTCATCGCTCCTCACTGACAGTTTAGTTTCTCTGCTGCCATCCTCGGCCTGCCAAAACTTCTGAAAGAGGAGGATGTACACGCCGAGTTCCCTTCGGATACCGACGATGAGTATGTCACCGAAAAAGGTTTCCAACCGAGCCTCCCGGGGGAGGCCACTAGGCTTTCCAACGCGCTCGCCCTGTTTCGTGGGTCCCGAATCCTGGCCAAGGTACTGGAGAAGATTTATCCTTCGGCAACCTCGCACGAACTTTCGCTCCAACAAATGTCTGCTCTCGCCGTCGAGCTTGATGATTGGTACGAGAAGCTTCCACAGCATCTCAAACTCACCTTCAAGCAAGACAAGCCGTCGACCGATATTACCGGCAGCAGGTCACCGATCCTTGTAAGCGATGCACCATTTCGTATCCAAAGCTACTCAGCGCTGACATAGCTTTAGGCTCTTGCGTACTATTACACTCGAACTCTCATCTACCGCCCAGCTGTAACCTCCAGCCTGGGTCCGAGGGCCGCTCCTGCACTGATTGCGGTCGGCGAATCAAGTAAGCACATGATCCAGATTATCCAGCTTCTCGAGGAAAGGAACATGTCCTTTTCCTTCTGTTTGAACAAAGCAGACATACTTGTTCTTTGCGGTATGGTCTTGCTGTACCAAACAATGGGCCTCAAGCAGGATAGCAAGCTGCTGAGGGACAACGAAAAGCTGGTCAACGCAGTGATCAAGGCAGCGGATCAAGCCAAAGCTCCCGGTTGTTACGACTTGAAGCGTGTTGCAGGGATGTTGGTCACCGTCGATGAACCGCCACCGCAATCCTTGCCGACGCCCCCAAGGCAGAGCCCTGATACCTGCATCACCGCTCCCTCGGCGCAACGAGCGTCACCCCCGACGGCCCATAAGATGCACCCCTCTGTTGGCCGCCACCTCGCCGCCAGCATTAGCGAAACGGATTTGCTCCTGCAACAGGAGAAGCTGCGCAGGATGACTATGTCACAGCAACAACACAGCCGAGTTGAGCGATTACCGCCACGCTCGAGGGGATCCTTCGACAGCCCAAGGCCCGCCATCCCCCTCGCCCAACGCGATCACAGGTTATCCCTGAGCCAAGCCCAGGCCGCCCAAACCGCCATGCTTGCCCGCTTGTCAGCATCCTCCAACATGAAACAAACCATGGAGTACCTGCACCTCGACTCCCACTCGCAACCAACCTCCTCGGTGCAGGCGCGTGGTCCTTCTCGCCCATCCATCACGCAAGCTCAACAGGCGCACGTTTACGCCCAAGTCCGAAAGGAATCTGGGATCTCAACCGCCGAATGGGAGGCATTGCTGGGCTCGATCGAAGGGGGGCAACTCAACGTCTACGACGCGATATACGGCGGGCCGGGACTGGCGCTGGCGGACAACAGCACCACTCCCTTGTCGGCGACGGCCACGACGGCCCCGGCGTGGTCGCCCGACTCGTGGGACCTGACGGGTTTCAACCTGGGCGATTTTGGGTCAGGGACTACTGGGTCGTCGCATAGTGTGGTCAGCCTCAGTGAGGACGGGTTGAGCCCGAGTGACGATTTGGTTAGTGTGGGGAGCTTGGACTTTAGGAATGGGCTGATTTCTTCGGGACTCCCGACGACAGCTGACGGGTATGTGCTGGATGGGTTGGATGCGGGTTTTGCCCTCTGAAGGGATTGGGAATTGGTTGGAGTTGCAATGTTTTGGATCTTTGGTGGGTTCCTATTGGATTGGTTGGGTAGCTTTAGGTTTCTTGGATGGCTGTAACTGGCGTCCGTGGGAGAGTCGGTTACTACGGTACCTGACACGTGTAGGCAGCTCAGTTTGGGGTACGGGCGTGGAGGTTAGGGGTGTTTGGATGTCTGCATGCGTCCTGTGTAATGGGGGTCTCTTAGGGTTTACGGAGGGCGTTTGGATCGTGTTTTTTGGTTCGGGGTCACTGAGATGGGACTTTGGATAGGTATACCGAAGGACGGCAGGTTCTTGTTTCTTTGCCATAGCTGGAGCACACCAAGACACACTGCCTGATGTCGTTCTATCTACACCTGTTGGATTAGACTTCTTTTTCGAGCATCTCAACTTCATACCGCAGGGTCCAAGTGGCAATCAAAAGGAGTGTCGCTGGATTTGGTGATTTGGCTGGCTTGGGCGGCTTGGATGATTTGTCTGACACCCTTGGGGTGGATTCCATCCTCTTCTCATGCGGGTGATCCATTCTCCACTCAACGGAGCCCGCTATTGATGCTCCTCTCAGGTGGTGGGCTCAATGGTGGATCACTGCCGGTAGTTACAGTACTTGCGAGCATCTCCGCTCGAGGTACTCCGTAGTTGGCAGGTTGGTTCAGGGTCAAGTCAGGGGATTTTACTGCACTGGCAATCGCCGGCTTTGGCTGCCTTGTTGGTCGGTAACTACTACTGTGTAGAGACTCGGGCTGTTTTGGTCCTCTGTATCGCCGGTGTGGATGTGCTTATGATGGCCGCTGACTTGCAGGCCCATTTGATCATGGGAATATTCAGCGGCTAGTTTTAAGAAGGACGCATGACGTTTAACGTGATCAAGGTCAACCTGACACGGGTGGCACGGCACCTGCGCTGTAGACATGGTTTGGGTTTGGAAGTTTGCTGGAGGCTTTACTCGATACCTCTTGCCCTGATTGTCCACACATTTGTAATTACTCTCGAGTCCGGTACTCCACCGATTCAAGGGAATCAGCCTGGTGTAGGTAGCCCCAGGTTAATCCAACACGTTGAGGACAAGCTTATTGTCGACTCGGCGTGGGCCATGATGCACCACACTCGGTTTCAACCTTCTGCGTGTCGGCGATAGTTCGCAGCTTAGGTTTTAGGCTGAATCTGGTTGAAACGGTGGGAGCCCTTCGCGTTGGTGGATAAGGTAATAACCAGCGATTGAGATGATGTCTTGGACTTCAAGTTTTCAATACCTATTGCTTGCAGTATTTTCATGTAATAAAGATTCCATAGCAGGATTTACACAGGACGTGATAGAAACTATTCACGCCAGTTGATAAATTTGGTTTCCTTTTTGTTGAAAAAAAGAGGCAAGGTGAGAAAGGCAGTGCATGAGACAAAAGTTTGGATGCACCCGGGATCGAACCGGGGACCTTTCACAAGCGCACAGTCTACAGAGTAGACCAGTTGCGAAGCGAAAATCATACCACTAGACCATGCACCCAACTCAAGTGTTATTACCTAAGGAATTATTGCATTTACAAAGGCTGTAACCTCCTCAGACTATGTCTCGTTCCGTTCCCGCAATCTCGGGCGCCATTGTTCGCTTCAATGAATTACCTTTAGTTCCATGGTTCGAAGACAAGTCTTGAATAGATGATTAGGCTGTTGCCTCAGCGTCATCACCGATACTGACGTCAAGGCCATTTACAGCATGTGGCAGAAGTTGACGCGTCAGGAAATGCCGAATGCGGGAGGCCGGAGGCCCGGGGATAGTGGAGAGGCTCGGCCTAACTCCGTGGTTGGGGGTTTGGGACTCGCCCCGGCCCGAAGCCAGCATCATCGAGGAGTCCAAGGTTGGCCAGTCTGTCATTGTCGATGTCCTCGTTGCTGCTTGCTTTTGAAGGAGTTTTCGCTAAGCTTCATACTACAGAGTTCGCCGACACTTCCAGGTTCGTTTCTTATTCAGGTAAAATCCCGACATTCTCTAAGCAGCCGTGGACCCATGTCACCGGAAACAACACCGCTCCTTCCAGAAGGCATGCAGCTCCGCGCGGAAGACACAGGTGCGTTGGGCCCCGCAACCGCCTGCACTGCCTAGGCACCATACCTCAGATGAGCCGGGCCGGATCCTTCCTGATATGGAACGTCTTCACCCACTCACCACATTCCCAGGCCCCATCCCGGGCATCAAGCCCGGGGCATCGGCATCTCGATCCGGGCGTAGTTCCGGACTGGCGCGGCTGCCTCTCAACATCGGGCACCGGGGTTACAAGGCCCTATTCCCGGAGAATTCCATGGCCGCGTTCCACGCTGCCGTGGCCGCCGGCGCACACGCCGTCGAAACAGACCTGCACCTGTCCCGCGATGGCGTCGTCGTACTGTCCCATGTGAGCCCCATTCATTCAAACTGTGGTCCCCTCCTTGATACTTTGTACGGGGGAATGGCAGGTGTTTGTGGTTGCTGTTTTCAGCGCAGTGTAATCCTTTTCCCCAAATACTCTCGACCGCCACCGAAAGAATCCGCTTATGTATCCGTCAGACTTACACAGCATGACAACCCCCGCCAAAAAAAAGGAGAAAAGAGAAAAACAAACTACAACAAAACCTAGCCCAACATAGCTCAGGAGAGGGGATAGATGTAAAGAACGAAAGGCTGAGACACCTCTTCTTCCGCTGGCAGGACCCAACCCTCAAGCGCTGCTTCGGCGTCGACGCAAGGATAGCCGACTGCGATTGGGCGTACCTCTCTACCCTACAAACGCTGCGCGAGCCGCGCCAGGGCATGCCGCGCCTGGCAGACCTGCTCGAGTGGCTGGCCGGGCTGGAGTGCTCGAGAGACAGCGCCGCCGTCTGGCTGCTGCTCGACGTCAAGACGGACGACGACCCGGAGCGGCTGCTGCCCGCCGTGGCGCACACCATTGCTTCCGTCCCGCCTTGTGCTGATGCTGGTGCTGGTGGCGGGAAGGGGTGGAAGGAGAGGATCGTGGTGGGTTGTTGGAATGTGCGTTTTTTGTCATGCATCCCCCTTTTCCAAATATTCCCGCTCATGTTTCTGCAAACTGTAATACTACCCTATGCCGAAATACACACAGGAACAACTGACACCCTAGCCCCATCCACCTCAGGAGAACTACATCCACCACGCCCGCCTCCACCTCCCGGGCCACCCGCTCGCCTATATCGGCTCCTCGCTGCTCTACGCCCGCAGGTTCTTGTCGGACGAACACGCCGACGTGCAGTTCAACCTATTCCAGCCCACCCTGGTCGGCCCCGTCGGCGCGCACTTTCGCCGGGAGGTGCGCAAGAGGGGGAGGAAGCTGTTTGTGTGGACCGTCAACGACAGAGGGTGGATGGAGTGGTGTATCAGGAAGGGTGTGGATGGCGTAATTACCGATGACGTGGGGAAGTTTACGGAGGTCAGGGACCGGTTTGGAGATGGTGATGGCGGTTTTGATGGGGGTGAGGGTGACGGTGGTGTGACGGCGGGAATGGTAGTCAAGGGGAGCGGTGGAAAGGGGGAAGAAGGTGTCAGGTGGCCGCGCATGCTGAGACTGTACTTCTCGGCCATCTTGTTGCAGGCTGCGGCCGCCGTGGTTAGTGTGTTGTTGTGGCATCGGCTGAGCACCAGGGGCCGTGGCGGGAAGGGCAGGAAGGCCAAGGCGGGATTAGTGCCTGGCAAATGCTTATTTGACAGCGGGGAAGCGCATGGACAAATTATGAGTGTGTGACTTTGGATCGTCAGATCCTGTAGCGGTTGGCTGATACACCGGTTGGTGCCTAGTGGGTTGCACATACTAGACGCTTGTTGCCGGAAGCAAACTGGCAAAAACGGTGCCATCCGGCTCCTCGCTAGGCACCAGAGCGGCCATTGACCGGCCATGAGGCGCGCCTGGGGTATATCAACCAATCTGGTAGCCGATGAGCGATATGCCGTCGCCCAAACCGCTGCCGTCAGCCCAGTGTGTGTCTCCCGATCATCGGTAGGCCGTCTCGTTGTCCTACAGTATGACAGCCAGACACTCCGGGCACAATCCTCAACATATGATGGGGTGTGAAGCCTCTCTCATGATGGCGTATAAGAAGGGTTCCTGTAGCCGCCGGGCTGGAAGTGCCAAATTTCTCGCTGTTTCCCGAGCCCCCAAGACGATATCGAAGGTACCACTGAAAATGGGATGTTTTGGGGAAAAGCGCACGAGCAGCTCCGCACCCATGACATGCATCGTCAACGATGCCCACCTCGGCAGGGAAGGTGTCTGCGGCAAGGTCGCGGCCGGGAAGCACTCCGTCTGTGCCACCCATCTTTGCCAGTACCGGCCGTCCCCTAACGGACGGCGATGCGGAAAGCTACCGCTCCGCCTGGCCTCGCGCCGCGTCTACACCGCCGCAGGCTGGTACCCCGACACAGCCGAATCCGTCTACTGCAAGGAGCACGAGAAGTACAACTGCATGGGCGTCATCAGCGACACTATGCGATGCTCCGCAGCTAGGACCCCAGGGGAGGCCTACTGTCTCACACATGCGGCTGTGATGTGCAAGTGGGAGGCGGGGGACGGCAGGCTCTGTTCTGAGATGGCAGATCCGGGGTCGAGATACTGCGGCGCGCATTGCTGGTGCAGACTCCCTTCGCTTCGAGTTTCCATCCCCAGGAAGCGAGACGGGCTGACCAGATGTGACGTGCTATAGCACGGCTGAGAACGAAGACGGCGTCGGATGCCCCGAACCCAGATGCCAGTCGAGTATCTTCTGCTGGGGACATCGATGCCTCTGGAAGGCAGATGAACACACACAATGCAGCGAGGCCTGGTATTCGAACACTCCTGGCGTCTGCCCCCAGCATATGTGCGTGAAACGAGGGTGCGAGAACCGAGCCCAGGACGGCATCGACCGCTGTGTGGACCATGTGTGCGCCTTCGTTCCGCCGCCGGACTGGCCGAGCGACTTTTTCCCCTGCTACCGCGAGCCCGTTGAAGGGCAGTCCTACTGCGAGTTCCATGATGGGTATTTGTGGTACCAAGAACAGGTTTGGCTGGACGCCCAAGCAGGCGGCGGGTGGTACGGATGAGCTTGGAGACCGCCCGTGCCAAGACCGAAAGGAGCCGAGTCGACATAGTGATTGAAGGCTATGGGAGTTGACACCCGGAATCAAGGGCGAACTGACTACATCAAGGTCAGTAGTCTCCATACTCGAGATGTGAGAAAGCTAAAGTCAACTGTAGGTTTAATCAGAGGAAATATATTTGTGCCAGCTGGAATGGAAGCGGTGTGAGAATTCGAAACATGCTCAACAAGGTTGACGTTGTTCTCTGTAGTAGGTTCTCTTTGCCGAGTTAGTCTTCGACCACCACGCCGTCCTGGCTCACCTTAATCTGTCTTCGGGTTCGTTCCATCGGAAGCCCACGTGCGGTTGGCTTTGGGATGAGATGGCTTTTCAGGTGTAGTCCCGGTACAGCCGCTTTCCCTTTTATCCTTCACAACGGAGAGCTTTGGTACTTTCACTACAACTCAATGAATTGCATCGTGGGTTTGAAAAGCTACCTACCGTATCAGTTCCGAATCCTCACGCTCTGGTTGAGATGTCGTCAGATCAAGAATCCCAGCCGCAGGACGTTTTGTGCCCAGACCCCACGAGCTTTGCAGGCACCCCTGGTTAGCGTAATCATTCGGTCTCGTGGCTTATCTCCGCGGTGACGTGGTGGCTGCGGCGCCTGATGAGAATGCCGCTCACACGACAGGACAAGACATGGGCGGCTTGATTGTTGATGGCTGAGCATCGGGCACTCGGACATGCGACACCCCGTCGTCCGGTGCAAGTTTTGATAATCAAAATCATGCCCCGAATTCAACCTGAAAATTCCTACATGTCTTGCTGCGTGAAGTTTTAGCGTCTCGAGCTTCTCAACTATGGCAGATTACTCGGGCGGTAGCTTGGAGGCTGATCACCTCTGCGTACTGGTGCATGGGGTTCGTCCAAACTGCATTCACCTACCTTGCCTTGCCTTATCCTTACTGCTGCAAGAAAACGACAGACAGCTGACGCAGGATATGAGTTCTCTAGCTATGGGGCAACCCAAATCACATGGCCTCCGTCGCCAGAGCCCTCCGAGCCCAGTATCCTCCCGACCAAGTCTACATTCTCGTCGCGAAACGCAATAGTGGGTCTTTCACATACGATGGCATTGAACTCGGCGGCGAGCGGGTATGTCTCGAGATCGAAGAGGAGTTGGAGGCCATCAGGAGCAAGGGCGGCAACATCAAAAAGCTCAGCATTGTTGGATACTCGCTTGGAGGGCTAGTCGCGCGATACGCCATCGGGCTGCTCTTCGCCAGGGGCGTCTTGGACAGCGTTGCGTGCATGGTACGGCACACACATGCCCATTTGACAAGGACTGGGGCTGATCATGCACCAGAACTTCACCGCATTTGCGAGCCCCTTCCTGGGAATCCGAACGCCGCTGCGCGGGTGGGCCAACCAGATATGGAACGTCCTGGGCGCTCGAACGCTGTGCATGTCTGGCCGGCAACTCTTCGGCATTGACAAGTTCCGCGACACAGGCAAGCCCTTACTGTCGGTACTCGCAGACCCCAACTCCATCTTCATGTCCGGCCTCGCAAAGTTCAAACGCCACACTCTCTACACAAACATCGTCAACGACAGGAGCGCCGTGTACTACACCACGGGCATCTCCAAAATCGACCCCTACGCCGACCTGTCCAAAGTCAAAGTCCACTACCTCCAAGGCTGGCAAGACGTCATCCTCGACCCGCTGGACCCGGTATCCCCCGGCGCACCGCCAACCGACCCGGAACCGCTGGCCTCCCTGGTGGAGAAATGGGCGAAGCGAGTCCCCTTCGTCCTGGCGCTCACGCTCTTCATCCCGCTGGCCGTCGTCGCCTTCCTGGTCAACAGCGCCGTCCAGACGGTGCGCTCGTCGCGGCGCGTCCGGCTGCACGAGCGCGGCCTGGCCGGCATACCCGTCCACGACTTTCGCGTCAACCTCTGGATCAAGGAGATCCGCGAGGCGGTTGAGGACGCCTACGAGAACCTCAACAGCTCCCAGAAGCAGGAGTACCTCGACGAGGCCGGCAGTGCCGGCTCCGCGGGCGAGGAAGAGGATAGCGATGGATCCGTCGGATCCGCCTCGGGCCGGCGGATCCTCGCGCTCGAGAGGAAGCAGTCGCGGAATCAGGAGGCGGGAGGATTCCCGACGCTAGCGCTGGCGCCGTACCAATTTGCGGCGATTCAGGCGCTGGATGAGTTGGATTGGCGAAAGTATCCTGTCTACATCCACAAACATCGGCACAGTCATGCGGCGATTATTGTGCGGATGGATAAGCCGGGGTTTGAGGAGGGACATGTGGTGTTGAAACATTGGGTTACCCAGGAGTTTTTGAGTTGATGCTACGCGCAGATTTAGATGGGAGGTGGGAGTGAGAGACGGATCTGGCGAATGGTGAGAACCTGGCGTTGACGGCAAACTCAGAGCAGCGGTGTCAAGGGGTTGGGGTGGAATCGGGATCTGTAACGAGCTCCAGAATATCGGGATCGACCGAGTTCTTGATGATCTGGCTGGGGCTGTTCAGGATCCCGGGTGTGGCTGATTCGGTGGCATGCCTGGAATTTCTGGAGGGCTTCCTCGCCGGCTACCTCGTGCTCTGCCTCAGTGGATCCAGGTGTTCAGGGGCTTATCCTCTCAGTTCAAGGGGGGTTTGAGGAGGCTGGCAAGGACACGCTCCAGAAGTCCCATTATGATGCCAAATTAGCTACACCTCGGGTTCTGAACAGCTTCAACCGATCAACAAGAACCTTGGTGATTTCGATATTCTGGAGGTTATCTTAATGGGCTCATTCCGGAGCTCTTTCTCACCACAGGGCATGCACAGACTCGGGTTTCGGTGGCGTAAAGCCCCAAGCTAGTGAAATCAGGCGATCCACTGCGAGCGCTCCTTGCGGATGATGTGCAGCTCGTTCGATAATGTTCATATAAACTGTGCTACACCCGATCTCCCGTCGCCCTTGCTTCAGAGATAGACCGTGTAGTTGGAGGAGAATATTGCCGTAGCCTTTGGCCGCATTGCTTATCAAGGTGCCTGATCTGGGAGACGCATGGGGCAATGCAAGCTATCCTTATCTTAGCTTAGTGTCGGCACATGCCGACACGGCAATGCATGCGGGCTCAAGCGAGAACCTTCAACTAAACGGGCAAAAGCGCCGATTTTCAGAAATGCATCTCTCTCCCGAACACAGCGAGCCGCCAAAAACCATGAGGACATCGCGCGTCGCAAAAGAGACGTCCAAGTACTTTGACAGCAATGCAACTACTGTGATACCCCGTCGCTCGACCCGCTCTAGTCTTGCTCGGTTCGCGTACAGCAGCAGCGCAAACGACGCAAGCAACCATGCAGATAATGCACATGCCAAGGTGACTCTCGGGTCTGACATTGAGGATGCCGTCAAGACAACTGTCACCCGCAAGCGGAAGCGCACCGAAACGGTAACCCAGTCAATGCCCATACGAGCTACGAGCAGGACGACAAAGACCGAAATTAAGGCCGAACTTGACCCGGATGCCGAAACCGAAACAAAGGCCCGGCCACGCGGCCGCGTGCGCAAGCCAGCGCGCAAAACAACCGACGCGGCCACGGGCGCCGTAACCGTCGAGCCGCCCTCGGACTGGGAGGAAGTCTACAACCTGGTCAAGGCGATGCGCCTCACGGGCCCGGCGGCCAACGCGGCCGTCGACACCATGGGCTGCGAGCGGCTCGCCCGCCCCGACGCCAGCGCGCGCGACCGGCGATTCCAGACGCTCGTGGCGCTGATGCTATCGTCCCAGACCAAGGACACGGTCAACGCTGAGGCGATGGCGCGCCTGCACACCGAGCTGCCGCCGCACAAGCCCGGCGCGCCGGCGGGCCTGAACCTCGAAAATATGCTCGCCGTCGAACCCGCGCTGCTGAACGAGCTGATCGGCAAGGTCGGCTTTCACAACAACAAGACAAAGTACCTCAAACAAACCGCGCTCCTGCTCCAATCCAAGTTCGGCTCGGACATACCCACCACCATCGAAGACCTCTGCTCCCTTCCCGGCGTCGGGCCCAAGATGGCTCACCTCTGCATGAGCGCCGAGAACGGCTGGGACAGCGTGCAAGGCGTGGGCGTCGACGTCCACGTACATCGCATCACCAACTTGTGGGGGTGGCATGGTTCCCCGCCGACAAAGACGCCCGAGGATACACGGAAGGCGCTCGAGGCATGGCTGCCGCGCGACAGGTGGAAGGAAATTAATTGGCTGCTGGTCGGGTTCGGGCAGACGGTCTGTCTGCCCGTGGGCCGCAGGTGTGGGGAGTGCGAGCTCGGGTTGAGGGGCCTGTGTAGGGCGGCGGAGAGGGGGAAGGTCAGTGAGGGGAGGAAGAGGAGGTTGGTGGTGAAGAAGGAGGAGGAGGTGGTGATGGACGGGGAGCAGGTGACGGTTAAGAAGGAGGCCGAGATGGAGGTAGTGGTTGAGGGGAGGAGGGAGCGGGACGTGGTTGTTAATGAGCCCGTTGAAGTGCCCTTGGGTAGTCCGAGAGTCAAGGTCGAGGAGACGTGAGGCGGTTGATGATGGGGTAGGTATTGTGTAAGTGCATTGTGAGACCGGCTCGGGTGGTATTCCCGGAGCCGGCTCCGCTTTGATACCCCACAGACCATTCTCATTAAGTATCTCCTCATTACTCCAGTCAGTACGAAGTAAAATCTCTTGGCGCGCGTCGAGTCATGGATACGATATCGGAGGCCGCATCCACTGCTGATCGTCATCGGTCGGCGCAATCAGGAAATGTGATAGAACGCTCAACTTTGGTGAATCAGTGGCAACATATAGGAAAAGTAGACATGATGGGTTGTCGCTTTAAGATGTCTATTCCATGTCTTAGGGTCTAGACAATAAGTATGCTCCTCTATGCACTTCTATGAAGCGAATATCTTCATGACAAATCAATTGCGATCCCCTCGTTCCTGAAACTCAAAGCAGAGGGAAATATGCTAAAAACCCTCCCTTGACGCCATGCTAAAATGAATAAGGACACGCTGCCTCGTTTGTACTCCAGGCATCCCTATACTGCCCTCCGTCGCGAGTCGAGGTTCGAAGTTGACGAGTGGAAAAGTGAGCTACACCGGCGCTTCGAGCAGCGGTGTCGGCTGTGACGTGGCGACGTGGTCCCTGCGTTGGGTGTGTTGCCATCCGGCCCTTGTTCGTGCCATGTCATCGGTGCAAACCGTTTTCGTTATGGCCACAAGCGGTTCGTAGTATCGGCGTCGAAGTTCCGAATGGTGCATAGATAGTAGGTTTCGTAGTGAGCGTTCTTATGCCGTCTTGATGACCTGCGTCCGCTCCTTGTTGAGCTGGTTCGCGTTTTGCTCAAAGGCCTCCTTTTTGCACTTCAACAGCAAGTCAGCCAGCGTGTCCTCTGGCAGCACCCCCGACAGGCCGACAAGCCACCACTGCGACGGCGCGGGCAAACTTACGTCCTCGAGGTTCTGGCACTTGTGGTCCTCTAATAGGCGATGGCTGCTGCAGAAGTGCCCCTGGCAGAATGTGCAGTCCCCCACGTAGCGCTCAGCGGCCTTCTTGCAGCCCTCGAATGAACATCTGAGCTTGGCCATGTTGGTTGCTTGGTTGGTTGGAAGAGAGAGGTGACAGTGAATTCCGGTTGGCCGGGTTGGCAGGTGGAAAGGTTGTGAGATGGAAGGCCCCGTGGTTTGCAAGATCACGGTCCGAGTGTGGGTGGGTGTTATCGTCGACAAAAAGCGTCGGTCTCCAGGATGAGTCGGTTGGAAGGAAGTGGTGCAAGCCAGGGGAGCGGTGAGCGAAGAGACGCCATCGGAATTATAAAGAGGTGGAAGGCGCTCACGTGGTGTTATGATCCCGGGCTCAATGAGGTGGCCAACATCCGGATAAGAGGCTAGCAAGAAACAAGCGAAACTGGAAAGAGGTCGAAAGCCTTGGACAGGGCAGCTAGGCGTGAAAAGAGGCGGCCAGGGGTCGAAGGTACTTGTACCGTACATGGTATGTCTAGTTCAAACACTGTGTAACCCGCTTGGCCAGATTTTTGATAAAGCCTCGCAATCAGCTCTCAGGTGAGGAACATACTGTGTGGGTGTGCGGGTATGAGTGGCAGGTCGGCCGTTTGCAAAAGCAAGATTTCCCTCCTAAATCAAACATGCGGCTTGCCGTGTTCAAAGCCTGCCGCCGTTGATGTCGTCAAGCGAACAATAATACACTGTGGTTACTAAGACGGTATTACGGACAACACATAGCCTAATGGCTTCCTCGCGAGCCTGCTGTATACGGTTAGTCGAGCTTGAAGTTCAGCTAACGTTGACGAAGGAAGCGTCAGCCACTCCACGAAAGAACGACCCTTGCTGGTCAAGCTCGACTGAGTCGCGTGCCGCTTTGCATCAAGAAGCGCTCTACAAACTGTGGTGAGTGTGGTTACCTAAGGTCAGGCCAAAAACTAACCCAGACACCCATAACCAACTACTTAATACAAAGCCCCATAGATACTGCAGACAGACGCACTCTTTTGGTCAACTACGTTGATCAAAAGATGCATCGAGGCCCAACGGCCTGCTGGACCAGTCCCCGATATTTATCATCCGAGAGCGCCGGCTCCTTTCCTACGCAGTACTCGCGTCGACAGCCACACCCATGGACTCGCCTCACAGGTCTCCACCGTGGCGCCCCGGTAGGTTCCAGATCGACTCAGCCTTGTTTCCGTCAGATACTCTGTATTCTCAACATCCACTCCCGAGAAATGATCCTTGGGACTGTCGACAACACAGCCATTTTCGGCGGAATAAGTCTGGCTTGGCCAGCGTACGAATAGGCAACGTGGTACAGCGGCGAGCCGGGATTGCCCGACCAACACGCAAGTCATGCTCTGCTGCTGCCGAGGGAGTCCCCAGCAGCATGTCCAGTTTACGTTTGTCATTCAACGGCATGGGATGTTTGTAGCCCCGGTGACTTCCGAAGGCGAGGCATCCCTCATTCAAGCTACTCCGCTATCTCAGAAAACGGTACGCCTACTGCGGGTATCTCACACCCCAACCTCGGGTTGGGAAATGCGGTTACGATATGCGACTTTCAAGGTTCCAGTCATTTTTGTCCATTCGCTACCTTACCAGAATGTACAAGCTATGCTCAGTCTCACTCCTCTAAGACATTACTCCATGTCCAGCACGGCGCGGATGCAGTCGCCCTGCTTCATGACCTCGAAGGCGTCGTTGATCTCGGCCAGCGTCTTGCGGTGCGTGATGAACTCGTCCACCTTGAGGCGGCCCTCGAGGTAATCGGTGACGAGGTCGGGCAGCTGGCTGCGGCCCTTGACGCCGCCGAACGCGCTGCCTTTCCAGACGCGGCCGGTGACGAGTTGGAATGCTGGCCAGATACCCACATCGTTAGCTATCAAAGCCTCGAACAAGAAGGGGTGAAAAATTACTGGTGGGTACTCACGCCTCGTCGAAATCTCCTGCCCGGCCGCCGCAACGCCAATGATGATGCTCTGACCCCAGCCCTTGTGGCAGGCCTCGAGGGCCGCGCGCATGACCTGGACATTACCCGTGCAGTCAAACGTGTAGTCGCACCCGCCGTCCGTCATCTCGATGAGCTTGTCGACGACGCTCTGGCCCTCGGCGAGCCGGGCCGGGTTGACAAAGTCGGTGGCGCCAAACTGGCGCGCCCACTCCTCCTTGGCCGGGTTGACGTCCACCACGATGATCTTGCCGGCCCCCTGCGCGACGGCGCCCTGCACCACGCTCAGCCCGACGCAGCCGGCGCCAAAGACGGCCACGTTGCTGCCCTTTTCGACGTTGGCCGTGATGCGCGCGGCGCCGTACCCCGTCGTGATGCCGCAGCCCAGCAGGCAGGTGCGATCCATGGGCGCGTCCTGCTGCACGGCGACGACTGAGATGTCGGCCACGACCGTGTACTGGCTGAAGGTGGAGGTGCCCATGAAGTGCAGGATGTCCTGGCCGCGGGCGCGGAAGCGGCTCGTGCCGTCGGGCATGACGCCCTTGCCCTGCGTCGCGCGGATCTTGCCGCAGAGGTTGGTCTTGTTGGACTTGCAGAATTTGCACTCCTTGCACTCGGGAGTGCTGCGCGGCTGGTCAGCATACGGGGGGATTACTATCCGGTGTAGGGTGTGGGAAATGATAATATGACTGATGACATACTAGAGTGCCACGACGTGATCGCCCGGCTTGACGTTGGTTACGCCCTCGCCGACCGACTCGACGATGCCGGCGCCTTCATGGCCCAGGATGACGGGGAATGCGCCCTCGGGGTCCTTGCCGGAAAGTGTGTAGGCATCTGTGGGCATCGAGGCTGGTAATCAGTACAGAACCCCCCAAGCAGCCATCAAGGTGCTCCTCGTGTCATGGGGGGGGGCCGTTACCTGTGTGGCAGACGCCGGTATAATGGATCTTGATGCGCACCTCGTGGGCTTTGGGCGGTGCCACCTCGACATCCTCGTAGCTGAGTTCCTGACCAGGGCCCCAGGCGATGGCGGCCTTGCAGGTGATGGTCTGGAGATGACACTCGAGTTAGCATCACTCAGTGAGATCACTGAGCCGTTCCCTACCGCAAGTACAGCTAGCTAGCGCGAATGCGGGGTATGTAGTGACTCTGCTATCTGCCTTACCTTTCCTGCCGTTTCCGACATTCTTGATGTGTTCTGAGATTGTTGGCGAACGATGGGACAGTCGATCAGCCCGGCTCAGCACACCACAACTACGATTCTTTCTGTTTGTCTTAATAAAATAGCTCGAGACAGAGCTAGTATGGGTTCTTCGGGAACACTTTGACCCCGCCCTCTCCAGGTGGGGCCGATGGGGTTCAAGATTGCCGGCAACGGGATCCCGTCCTCACTCTTCGGCATGCTAATGAGCTTCTTCGGTGATTTTACGGCATCCGCCCGCCAAGTGACTGTTCCCTATCTTTTCTAATTTCTATCAGTTCGGCAATCCAGGGTGTCAGCGTTTCCTGTCTACTCTTGAGTGAGTGGTCACTAGTCAATCACTCAGTTTGAGAGAACACACAATCTCACTTTCGTCTGTTCTTCAGCCATTCATGGCCATATTCGAAAGCAAGTTTCCAGAGAACGATTCTGTATATGAATCATGACGGTGCGACTATTCATACCTTTGCTGCCAAAACTTGTCCACGCCATGACTTGGGGCGGATCGGAACCCACTTCTGCACCCGGAACGGTGACTCCTCCACCGACGACGACTGGAGAATGCGACGATGAACCTGCCCCATCGTTGACTGATGTAGTAAACTCCTTTTGCTTCACCTTGTTTAGTATCACTGTCAAACAAGGCGTCCGAGAAATTCAACGTGAGACGCGACTATACTTGCGCATCTCCTTGATAAACAACAACTCAGGCTCGGGGGTGACAGAGGGCCATAGTTCTTCTTCTCTTCCCATGTTCCAGCCGGTTTCGTACACAATTGTTGGGGATTTGACCTGAGTGTTGTACCGACAGCTGTTGAAAGCTCGGCCCCAGATGGTACATGCTGTGGGGGGGTTCCTGTCTTGCTATGTACTTTGGAGATTTGAAAAGAAAAACTGGAGTGAGAACAATCAACTCCAGGGGAAATTCCATAGGCGTTCAGCCACACCAGATCTGTTGTAATGTTTACCTGAACAAGAGAATGGGCTCAAATGAATGTACATTATTATGTATGCGAGTTGACAGAATAGAAGGCAAGCATAAAAAAGTGGAGAGAATTTTGAAAGTTGGACCAGAGGTACACTCCGTTGTCACCCCACAACCACAACATCACCTCTGCTTACGCCCTACACCAGCCCGAGCTCCGCCATCAGATAACTCCGTTGTCCACACATACCAAGACAACGCGTAACCACAACAATGGTTCCCCTCCCGCCCCCCTCACCACTGCCCGAATTCGTCTACAAGATCACGCCGACCACCCCCCCGGACCCAATCCCCGAGCAATACCCGCTCTCGGACCTGGACCGGCAAGACGGCTTTGTCCACCTGAGCGTCTCATGGCAGGCATGTACTCCCGTACCCTCCAGCCCTACACACTCGTCATGTACAAGTACAACAGAAAAGAGAGAGAACATGATTGACTTCAAAGCTGCCCAACATTAGATCCCCATCACAGCAGACCTCTTCTTTAAGGGCGCGATCTCCTTTTATGTCCTCAAGCTGCGCTTGGCCAACCTTGACCCGTCCACCGTCAAGTGGGACGAGGTGGATGGCACCAACGGCTGTCCGCACCTGTACGGCAACTTTGGCGCCCAGGACGTCGTGTCGGTGAGGGAGTTCCGTCGTGGGGAGGGGCAGACGTGGCAGGAGGCTTTGGAGGCCGAGAAGGGCTGGTTGGAGTACTAATAATAAGTCGATGAAAAAGGGCGCTTCTCAGTTCAACCTGAGGGCCACAGCCTCAATCAAGGAGACAAACTCCCTGAAGATAGCAATCCGAGTGATGTATTCTCAACAGCGCCTCGTTCTGTCAAAACACAAAAAAAAAAGCGGTAATACACGAGCCACACATTTCCCATGGTCTAACCTAGCCTAGACACCACGGCACAAAATCCCGACTCTCAATCCACTTCGCACTCACCAAATCATCTCATCCGCCTCAGTCAACCAGAGGCCCGCCAAATCCTTAGCCAGCCCCAGCCTCAACCTCCTCATGACATCCTCACCCTTCGTCCCGGCCGCAACCTCGGTCCGCCAATCCCAACCCCTCTTGACAGCCACTTTACCCAGCGCGCCGGCGCCACTGAGCGACCGCTGCAGCTGGCTCGCGACAAGCGAGCTGCCCGCCAGCATAACACTGCCCGGCGTCCCACCGCTGGTTTTCCTCAGCAGATCCGCCGGCGTCGACCCCTTCAGCCCGCCCGGCGCCGACGCAAGCACCAGCTGCAAGAACTCATCGCACGCCTTGTACACCCGGCTGCCGACGGCCTGGAGGTCCTCGATGGCCTTGAGCATGACGTCGACCTGGTCGAGCGTGATGACGGGCATGCCGCCCGCGGGCTGGCCGTGGTGGACATTGGTGTTGTCCGGGTCTGAGACGAACACGAGGGCCTCGCCGAGCAGGGCGAGGAGAAAGTCCTCGCTGACAATGCCGTCGCGCGTTTGGTCGAACAGGCCGCCGCGGATGTTGTCGTCCGAGCTGGCGATGACGCTGATGAGGGCCGTCACGGCCTGTTGGCGGCGGGCCAGCGGCGTGGCGTTGGGCAGCGCGTCTTCGTTGTCGCGTATGTCGTAGAATTGCCGGAGCGAGGCGTACCCGCTGAGCATTTTGCCCAGCAGCTCGGCGGCCTCCATGTCTTGGTTTGCGCACTGTTCGAGCGTCTTCTTGCGGTCCGTGAGCAGCTTGTGGAGGTAGTCATCCAGGTCGTTGGCGGGCGGAAACGCCGTGGACTGGATAAGCGAGTACGAGATGAGCAAGTTCATGACTGCGCGGACCTTGTTCGGCCGGTGCGCCAGGGCGTAGTACCACATGGCCTCGCCGTAGCGATGAGAATTTCGAGCCAGGATGTCTCCGTAGGTCTGCCTCAAGTCAGTGAATTGTGGTTCTATGTCTGGTCCCGCGGCAACACTCACCTCTGTCGTGTCCTCGGCAAACTCAATCATGTCGAGCTCATTCAACAGCGCCCACAGCCTGTCCACCGTAACATTCGAATCCACATGCAGTTCCTGGACCAGATGCTGCACCAGGTCACGCACCATCTCCTCTGAGCGTACCGGCGAGTCCATCCGGCCGAGTACACTCATCGACAGCTCCCAGCCTTCCCTCGTGACACCCAGCCTGTCTTTCACAGCAGAGAGGCCCTCATAGTCGGCCAGCGCTTGTGCATACTGAACCAGAGTGCTGTCCTTGATGCCGTCAACCTCATCCGGCGCGCCAGGATCCATACCCAAGACCTCCAGGTCATCCATATCCAAGTCTTCCAGCCCAAAGAGACCCGAGGGCTGGTGAGGGGGCAGCCATTTTCCAAGGGACGCGATCTCCGCCACCGCCGCAGCAATCGGAAGCGACCAGGCCCGGAGCAGGCCAACCACGCCTTTAATGTTGTCCTCAAAGACACAGGCCATGCCGATCTCAACGGGGTTCTGGGAGTTAAAGTGGAAGTCCGACTCGACCGCCGCATGGAAGGCGCGCGCAAGCCTGTCGAGATAGCTCTCCGAGTCGCCAGCTGGCGCCGACGTCAGAACCAGGGCTTGTGACCGAGAGAGCGACTGTGACATGGAGAAGGGCTTTTCTGACTGAGTCCTCCGCTCGTCCCACCAACCAAACAGGCCAATGGTCGCCTCGAGCCAGTCCTGGGAAGCTTCGAGGATGGCACCCTGCTGGCCAAGCACGATATCGAAGACGATATTCAATTTTTCGTAAATCTCCCACGGCACCTGGCTCTCGGCCCGTCTCGCAAGGCCCACCAAAGACTGTCTGCTTCTTGCGGATGCGGAGGCCGAGAACGCCGACTCGCCGAACGCGCTGTCCTTCCCCTCAGCGAACCGCCTCAGATGCTCGAGCGAACCCTGCGCTCGCACACGAAACAAAGTCCAGTCGCTGCTCCAAATCTCCCAATTGCCAACGTAGCCGGGGCAGGTCTCAAGTACAGCAATCGTCTCTTCGGCAGCGCGCTGGACATTTTCGAGTGCCTGGCCGGCATAAGCGTAGTCGCCGCGCTGGCCGCTCCGGACGTGACCCCAGCCGGCTAGCTTAAGCAGTCTCGCCGCATCGCCAACTTTGCCGCGCAGCAGCGCTATAAACACAGCCTGCCAGAACAGCGAGTGGCACGACGGGCTGGGCCGATACCGGAGGATCTCGTCGACTTGACTGCCGTACATGTCGTGGTGCTCGTTCAGCCAACGGAACAGCGTCTCGGGGAGCGGCTCCGCGCGGCCGTCGTCGTATCTGGTGTGATGGATCTGCAGCGCCAGGTTCGCGAGGTAGTTGGCCTTCTCGAAAGGCGCGGCGTGCGGGCCGGGTCCTATCTCGACCGCATGGTCTTCGGTCGGGCGCGGGAGCGTATCCACATGGTCCTTCCACAGCGTCGCGACCTTGCCTGCCACGGTCGCGAGGGTGTCGTCCAGTACGTCTTCATCGTCTGCTTCCCTAATTCCGTCATCATAAAGCTTGGCCATCAAATTCTCCGTCCCCACGATAACCTGCGGCGACTCCGTAAGTGGGGCAGTTCCCATCTGCTGGTAAACGTCCCTGGCGAGCGCGGCATATCGAAACTCCCTTCTCCTCGCCACCCCACCGCCCTGTATCGCCGTCGCCCGAAAGATGTCCTCCGCCTCGCGGCGGACTCTCTCCGTAGCCGCAGGCGTAGCCAGCATCAATAGATCTGACTCGTCCCCAATGTAAGTCGGCTCCGGCGCCCCAGCTGCCGGCACATCCAACCACATGTCCCCTTCCTCTTCCTCCCCAAGCCCACTTCCATTATCCTCATGCTCCTCCTCTTCCTCCTCTTCATCAAACGGCACCCCAAACGTCTTCCCGCCAGCCACACCGCCACCACCTTTCTCTCTCTCTCTCCCCGCAGGCGACGAACTCCTCGGGTCATCAACCGCTACCGCCCGGCTCAGCCGACTCGGCTGCCTCACATGCTGCCGCCCAATCGACCTCCCGAGCGGCACATTCCTCTTCCCACCACCACCACCAACCCCTCTGCCAGCAGCCGTCGAAAACAATCCCCCTTTACCGCTCCCAGTAAAACCCCCTGCGCTATCAAACCCGCCCCCAATACCCGTAAACAACCCCGCGTTGCTGCTATTACCATCATCACCAGTAGTAGTACTGGTATTAGTAGTACCGGTAAAGAGTCCTTGAGCAGGAGGAAGGGGAGCGCCGGACCTAGCGGCAGGGCTTCCTCCCAATCCGGACACGCCACGCATGATAGAGCTGCCGAGATAGCTTGCCGAGGGCGCGCCGGCGGGAGTGAAGCTGGCGGTGGAGGAGGCCGAGGTTGTCGTCGGGGGCGGGTGGGCCGGGGTGGTGGAGCGGGCCGTTTGGTTTGTGGACGAAAAGAATTCGGGGTAGTTGGCTCTGTTGTTCTGGCGGTCTGGAGTCGAGGGGAGGAGCGGCGAGTCGGGTGAGTGGTTGTTGTCGAATCGGAAGAGGGACATCTTGTCTGTTTTCTTCGTTTATTATTTTCTTTTGGAAGGTGTTCCTATCTCGTCCTCGTCTCTTCCGGACTTGAATAGGAATCAGACTAAGCGTGCAGAACCAACGGCGTCGTCGGTTTGGTTCTCGGGGAGCAACGCAAGGCAGCTCAGGGCTGCACGTCGAAGCGTCGAAATTGGTCGAGGTCGACGGCTGTATTGATTGAGTTACTCAATCGAGTTGACCGAACTTCGCAATTCGATTCAAGAGTTTGTAACCACCGATCCTGGCTATGGTTGATCGGTGCGATAACCTGGGGCGGAATTGTTGTTGCAGGCTGAGGATTCTGCGAACGCTTTGGCAATGGACAAAGCTCCAGAACGGAAAGCTCCCGACGCGACTTTTTGGGCGGTTGCTTGCGCGCCTCGGCAAGTTCCGCCTGGATAACTGTGGGCTGGGCGATCCACTCCATTCAAGCCGCCCACCCTCCGAAGGAGAGCGGGTAACAGAAACTGTGGACTGCACCCAGGACAGGTATCTAGACAAACGCGCCCTTTTTGCTCACTCAAAACGCATTGCCGTAAGTCTTCAACCCCTTTAAAACAGCCATTCAATGTAAATTTAAACTAGTTATATCTTACTTTCTATTATTTATTTAACTAGTTATAGCTTATTGTCACGGCGATTGCGCTGTGCCTGCCAGGACCCATGGGTGGGGCACAGCGTGTGGGGGGCCCCTGCGGGTTGAAGATCCTGCACCTCGCTGCCGCGAGTTCTGCTCGTAGCTCCTTGAGCTACGTCTTGACAATCAAGCCTGCCCGTACCTGACGGAATAGAGCCCAGACTGTAGCTGTTGGATTTGGCAGGTGGTCAGAGAGGGCAGTTCAGGGGTGACTAATGGCTTGGCACCAGGATTCTCAGGATCAGGAACAGGCAGGGAACTTCTGGAAAAACACAGACAGGAACATCATCATCAATTGAGTGGTTGCCCATCTTTTCGGTACCCAATTACTACGGTGCGGCACATTCGTGGCTGTTGGCTTTCCAACAGTAGCTTAGCCCGAATACAACTGCCATTGGACTATCAGCCTGTCCCACCCGTGACACTTATGATCTTATCTCTAAATCTAATAATATTTAAGGAGCTAAATAACTAATAAGTTAACTATAACTAGTTATAGAATTATCTTAGGCTTCTATACAGTCTCTAGCTTTTAAATTACTCACACTCTAAAAGAGAATAGCCAGCTTAAATGAAGTGAGTCGCCTAGCCCATAGTTAGTATAGAGATTCAATTACATTTTCAATTTCAATGAATATGCAATGGCAAAGTAGAGTGGGAGAGACGAGTAGCATCGATGCGAGGCATGTAGGCACTGCAATTGCTGACTCTATTCTGCTAATCACAAGGTAAGGAGAAAAGGAAGAGAAGTGTTGGAAGACCAACAGCCACGATTCCACGGTGATCACACAGATGATGGGAGCTTACAACAGTCAGATTTGAGATGCTCGGAGCATCCCAGATGTTCTTGATTGAAGGTTGTTCTTTTCTCACGTCTCCAGCGAAGGGGGAATCGCCCTGACCTCGTTGCCCAGCGCCCTGGTTACCCCTCATGTTGCCTGACGCTCAGTTGGGCAGCCATGCATCCAACAGCAGGGCACTTGCAGCTGAGCGTCCGAAGTTCCAGTGCCACGACTTTCCAACAAGAAGCTAGAAGAGCTCTCGCGATGCAGAGATTAAATGCTAGGGCAGGTGAGGCACGTACACTCAGTAGCAGGTGCCGCCACGTGCACTCCGACGGCAGGCGCCGTCACATAGAGTATCTCTATCGAGCTACTCCATAATTTAGCTTCAGGACTTTATTCTTCTAATTTCTATCTTGAATAATTATATCTATTTTGATTAACGCTGTAAATATATAGCTGTATCTATTCTTTAGTTACTATATACTAGACTTTGATATCCTCAACTCTCCTTCCTTTCTTTGTAACGGGCTGGGCCCGTGAAGGCCTCGGCAAACTCTCGGACAACACTCGAGATTCGGTGGACTTCTATCTTGTTCGATATCAGCGCACAGGCCAAGGATGTGGAGGTATAAGACGGCAGATATCTTGCATAGTCTTTCACTCTTTTTCTTCTTCTCTCTCCATTCGAGACAAACTCGTAGAGTCGTCACCAGCTAGTTGCAATATTGTCACGGCCCCCACCATGAGCCCTACACTTGGGCAATTGGCGGGCGAGACACTGTGGATTTCATGGCGCAGCGACATGACTCGCAGCAGAGAGAGGATATCTGGAGAGCAGGAGACTCAGATTGGAACTTGGAACTTCCCTCTCTCAAGGATCAGTCAGTTGGTTAGTGGTGCACGCACAATACAGTCGTCTTACCTGCTGCCTGTTGAGGATTCGGTGCATCTTCCTTGGTGAGCTTGTGTGTGTCACCTTACAAATATACTCCTGGGACCGTTACATTCTTACCTCACAACTCCTAGAATAAAGAATGGTAAGTAACGTTATATATGATTACAAAATTACATTAACGTACTTGCATAACGAGTGGCGCACTTTTTCTTAGACTTCAGTCACCTTGTAAGTCAATTCAACCACAACACCTCAAA